GCTTCCAGGTGAAGTACTCTTGTGAACTATACCCTTAGCTGCCATTGAGCAATGGAGATAATACACCTACCCACTCTTGCCAACAAAACCAACTTCTCTCATCCAGAGTTATAATTTAGAAATGCTATAAAAGCAATAACTTTCCTAATTTTTACTCTGACTGGATAGGAATAGACTTTGAAAAATATCAGTTGGAAGAAGAGGATGGTTAAAGATAAAGGTCTGGAGCTGTATGTGGTAGTACATACCTTGAATCCCAGCACTTGTGGGGCAGAGGCAGGTGGATCTCTGTCAGACTTGAGACCAGCCTGGTCTACATAGCAAGCTCCAGGCCACCTGGGGTTATAGGGAGACCTTCCTTCAAAAAGACAAGGGGAAAAAAAGATAAAAGTCTAGTAGGAATGTGCCTGATACCTTAACTGAACTTTTCCAAAAGGCTGTAATCAGATTGCAACTCCCAAGAGTAAATAAAGGGTAGTTTCCTGTGTGCTATAGCAACTGGAGGAAATATGTATTTAATTATTTTCAGAAAATCCTTCTATGTTTGAGACATGTTCTTTTTAACTTATATTACCTTTTTTCTTTGGCCTCCTGATCCTTAGTGGTACTGTTTTTGACCCATCATTCAGTTCGGATATAATAGAAGACTTGTGCTGTGGTTTGATTACTAGTGCAGTAGAAGAGGCAAATATGCCCATAGGATAAAAATAGAAATCGCTTTTGCTTTCGTGGTAGAAACTAAAAATAAAGCTGGTAGATTCTAAATGGTATATATCTGTTTTTGGAAACAAAAATTTTAAAACTCAACTACTAGTTATTTGTATCACTAAATATACTGTATGTATTCTACTTGGTATTAATATTTTTATTTTGACAGTTTTCTAGATAGCATTATGTCTTAAAGAATTAAAAATACTTTAATTCTTAAATTTACAAAAGAAATATTTGATTATTAACATGCTGTATTAGTCACTTTTCTGTTGTTGTGATAGAAACACTGACCAAAGCAACTTATGGAAGGAAGAATTTATTTGAGCTTATGGTTCCAAGGGGCAAGAATCCATCGTGGTAGGGAGGCATGGTGGCAAGAGCAGGAGCAGCTGAAGCTAAGCTCTCACATCTTCAAGCAGGCACAGGAAGCAAGAGAGCAACTCAAGATCTGGCAAGGCTTAAGAACTCTAAGCCCACCTCCAGTGACCTACTTCCTCCAGCATAGCCACACCTTCTTAGACTTCCCAAAACAGCTCCACCAACTGGGGACAAAATGTCCAAATTCTTGGAGCCTATGGGGGACATTCTCTTTCAAACCACCACACATGCTATCAAGTTTTCATTTGTTAGCAGTCGTAGTAACTAAGGCTTTGGTTTTAATGCTTTCTAACAGCTCTTTGTCTGGTAGAGGGTAGAGGTTAAGATAGTTTACATAATCTAATAGATAACACAATAGGTTTAGCAAGCACACAGCATGGTCCTCTGTTCCCCATTCCCTTGGCCTTTAAAGAAAGTTATAATGTACCTATTTTCCTTATTCCTTAATTTACAGGTCAACATTTATATTAGTTACTTTTCTGTTGCTATGATAAACACCATAATCAAAAGCAACTTAAGTGTCTGTTTTGGCTTAGAATTCCAGAGAGAGAGAAAACCAGGAAGTTGGTGATTCACCTTCTCTAGTACCATTCTCCATGCCCCCCTCAGTCTGTTTCCTTTCTTCCCGTTTAGTAAGACTTTGAGACTTTTAAGCCTCCATAACTACAAGAGCCAATTCTCATAATACATGTCATCTTATCTATGTGTATTATGTTTGGCTGTGGCTGTGTCATCTTATCTATGTGTATTATGTTGGCCCTACCAAACATAGTTACTGGCGTTCCTTAGGTGTTACTAAGCTGAGGCCTTAGGAATGATTTTCCATTATAAAAACGTTATAATTATTTTTAGTGTTCAATAAGCATTAGGTTCCATTATTTGTTTGAAACATAATCCATCTAACCAGCCAATTTATGGATCACTTACTGAACTGAACATGATACTAGAGGCTGAAGATAGAAGATACCCCAAACAGTGATCTCTACCCTCTAAGAGCTCACAGGGAAACAGCCTTTAAGCCAATTCTGTGAGTGAGTTCAGGACAAGAAATGGATGAACAAGGTACAGAGATGGATCAAAGAAGGTCCTTGGTAATCCTGCTTGGAAATGGATGCTGTGGGAGAAGGCACTTCAGCTAGGTCTCAGATAGAAAAATCAAGTCTTCACACCAATTTGTGCTCCTAAGACTCAGATTAGTGGGTGCCTGTGGGGGGAGGTTTCTAAAGTGATGGATTTCTATATCAGCTTGACCGTTGTTATTGGTTACATAGGTGCACATTTATCAAAGCTCATTGAACTGTATGTTAAGGTTCAGGTAGCCCTGCCCCCTCACCAACAGGATCCCAAGGACTTCTCATGCTCCTGAGAAAAGGGAACCTAGCTGATAAGCACCTTGGTCTTTGAAGTCAAGAAAAGCAGACTTTTCTCCACTTTTTGGCCAACACAGCATGCTTCCCCTTTGATCTCTAAAGAGGATAGGTTTTAACAGTCCCGCTCTCCTACTTCCCCCCACCCACCTTTAAAAAAAAATACACCTTCCCGCCTTCTGCAGGAAGCAGAACCCTCCCTTTTTAAAAGACCCCCAGCTCAAGACCCAGGCAGACATTTTCCCTGCCCAGAAGGGAATCTGTCCCGTGTGTTCCTTTGCTAATAAACCCTATTTTGATGGAGTTTTATCTGTGTCCTGGTGCCGCCTCCTCCATTCACTCGTTCTCTGACAACTTTTTACATATCACTGTACACTTATGATCTCTGTGTTTGATTATGTGCATTATATCTCAATATGTAAATAAAATTAGTTGATATTTTTGTGGTTTTTTTTTTTTTAACGAGTAGGTCTGAGGAGGTTTTGCAAGTATCTTCTGACTAAGAGGGCTCATACCCAGGCGCATGGTGTCTGTGGTAACCTCCCAGTTGCTAAATTTGGCAGGATTTAGGTCAAGGACATGAGAGCCTTGGATGCTTTGCAAAGGTATCTAGACTTTCTCCTCCTAGCCTGAGGAGGAAGAACTCCATCTTGTGATGCAAATGACCATCAAGGGAAGGTCACTTCCTTACACCCAAGCTGTACTTGGCTAAGTTAGTTTTCCAGCCTAGGAATGGTGAATGGGAAATATCCCCAGGGAATGAGTGTGTGGGTATCTGTCTCATTTTATGAAGGTGAATGTTGTCTCCTCATCCACCTGCCTAGGGATACATATTCTCCCTGCTGTTTTTATGCACCGAATCCTAAAGTGGTATCCAGTTGTGCAGGACAGCTAAGCATCCCTTCGAGTATCCAAGTAATTTCTACATTGTCCTGTACTTTCCTTACATCTCCACACTACAAGTTTTTCCTAGCTGCTGTTCCCACTTGAAGCGTGCTCCTTCTGCTTTGCCTGTGTCTAAACCACACTGCCTTCTAGAGCCACCAAAACCCTTTCACTTACATGAGCACATATGAGTCATATGGACAGTTTACCAGTGGCTTCTCCACTGAAGAAAATGTCTCTTCCTCTTCTAGCAGCCATTAAAGACATATAGATCCTTAAGGAGGGTTAGGGCCTCGTGAGATCCTCCCTTATGTGATGGACCCAATCCCAATCTTCCATAGCCCTTGAGCAGGTAATCACAGCCGCTGAAGAGTTCAAGAGTGCAGCAACCAGGCATCCTCTAGGACAGTGAACCACAGGCACTACCCCTTCCTCTGACTTTTATACTTTGTCTCCAGTGTCCCTGAGCCTTAGAAGGAGTGATACAGATGTCTCACATGGAGCTATGCGTTTAACAGCTGCTCACTTCTCAGCACTTTGAACAGTTGTGAAGCTCTACAGTAATAGTTACCAGTACAAGAAAAGAAGCTGCTCTGACTAGAACTGACAGCAGCACTAATTGATGGGCATAAACATAACTATTTGGAAGGAAATTTGATAGGGACATCTTGCATACATAATGTGCCTTTTAATAATCTTAAACATTTTAGAAGAAATAATTTTATTTTTTAAACGGGCATACAATAAAAGTACAGCACTCTTTTCTTGAAGAAAATTTTTTCCCCTTAAATAAGAGAAGACCTCACTATGTAGCTCCAGCTAGCCTGGAATTTGCTATGTAGACCAGGTTGACCTCAAACTCAGAGATCCACCTGCATCTGCTTCCTAAGTGCTGGTATTAAAGGCATGCATTACCATGCCTGGCCTTTCCTGAAGACTGTAACACATGTATAAATGAATGTACCTATAACTAAAGCCTAAATGTAGTATAATTATGTCCTACTCCCTCTAAACTCCCTCATTTCTTCCTTTCCCTTTTTTCCCACCTTCCATAAGCCCCTGGCAACCGTTGGTGTCTTCTCCTTTGCTACAAGGATTTCTAGGCTTGAGATGGTACCACTCTCCATTTTTCAACCGTATGATGGTTGTTAAGTCTTAGAGTACTTTATGTGTTTGGGATAGGTAATTTACTAATAAAGGTCTGTACCCTGTATAAATGTTGTAAATGCTTTGGGGCAAGAAGTATTTCAGAGTATTCTGTATTTTGGAATGTTTGTGTGCATTTTATTGTTTGAACATCTAGTTTTGAGTACATCCGTTGTCATCAATGTACCTAATTATGTCTCTTTTTTCCACACATGGAATTTTTAATTTCTTCACTTAAAACATAAAATTATAAGAAAATGTTTATTTGTAGACAGTTTTCAATCTTCTAAGACAGCTTTAATTGTTCTAAGTTATTTATCTGTATTTAGCCTTTATGTTGTAATTATGTTAAATGATTAACAGCAGTAGCAAGCAATGTTTGAGTGAGGCGATGTCATGGTCTTTGAAGTCATTTTCAGTAGAACTTTAAAATTTTGTAAAATTGAAATGGGTTTTTTTGTTATTTTAACAGAGATGTATTCTGTGATATTTATATTTTCATTTCTATTGTAGGTACGTATAGCAGCGAAATTCATCATTCATGCCCCTCCTGGAGAATTTAATGAGGTTTTTAATGGTGAGTATTAAAAGTACTTAAAAATTGTTTTGTTTATAATGATGTGTATGTGTGGGGGCAGGTTAGGAGGACTACTTCCCAGAGTTAACACTCTCTTCCACTGTGAGTTCTGAGGATCAAACTTAGCTAAGTCAGGCTTGTACCATGGAACCATCTTGTGGGCCGATGATATATGTACAACATTAAAATTGTCTCCCCCCCCAACTGTCCTATTTCTTAAAAAATTAAAAGTACTAAAATAAGGAATGTGTGCAGAAAATAAGTGCTTTTACAAATTACAACGAAGATTTTTGTCAACTTAGTTTTGTAATGGCAGGATACCATGTACTTGTTAGATAGGCTGTTCTAATGAGTTAATCACACATTTAAAAGGAAAAGTTTTATTCTACTTACTGAATGGTATATTTCCTTATCTGGAGAAAGAAGCTTCTTTTTGATAAATTGTTTTAAAATTCTAAGCACATATAGTGGTTCTTTCTTCAGTAGAACACTTAGTTGTAAAAAAACAAGTCATTTTTACTACATGGGTTTTGGAAGTGCCAGTATTTTCTTTTTGTTTCTGTTTCTTTGGGGGAGGTTTTTTTTTTTTTTTGAGACATAAAAACTATGTCTCACTATATATCCCTGGCTGGCCTGGATATGTACTTGATATGTAGACTAGGCTGGCTTCAAACTTACCTGCCCCTGCCTCCTACTTCCACCTCTTGAGCTGCTGGGATTATAGGTGTATACTTTAAAATTTTCAAGAAAACCTTATTAGATATGAACAGCCAATAACAAAGCATTTTCATTATGGAAAAACAGCACATGTTAAAACCATTTATTACTCATTACATTTCACAGCATGCCTGTCTTTTGGCAAACCTTTTTAGTTGCCCATGGCCCAGAAATCTAAAGTGGTTTGCTGGTTGCTGTAAAGCTCTCTTGGTACTATGGAAACAGGATTGAAAGAATCACCAAGGCACCAAACATGGTGGTTCATGCCTTTAATCCCAGCACTCAGGAGGCAGAGGCAAATGGATCTCTGTGAGATGGAGGCCTGCCTGGTCTCCATAACAAATTCCAGATCAGGTGGGGCTACAGAGAGACCTTGTCTCAAAAGAATCACCAAGAAAATGCCTTGTAGCAATCTCTTCCCAAACATTTTTTTTCCAGTTAATAGTAGTATGTTCCTATAAGTACTATAAATGGATTATTTTTCCTTTACATTTTGCCACCACTGTCTTAAAGTCAAATGTACACACATACTTCAGCTTTTTAAAAAACAATTGTACTCAAGTTTACTAAATATAGTGATGTATAATCATAGTTTTGGTCATATAATATAATGGACTCTTCACCTTAGAAAAGATTTGCTTAAAAAGCTAAAAATAGAGACACAAATTGTATAAACTTAAAATTACTCTTGAAAAATCTGTTAATCAACCATAAACTATAATACATGGTTTAGTAGATCCAGTTAATTAATATGGCAATTTTTATTACATGTATTTTGAAACTTAACCACTGAGCTACAGTTAGAGGAAAAATGGAAAATTCTGTATCAATAAAAAGAATCTGGAAATTAAAATAGTTCTGTTATTTAAGAATATGTTGGGTAGTAAATACAGAGTGATGAAAAGAATTCCAAAGTATTTGTGATGCTTAGCTATAATGTTTACTTCTTTTTTTATATAATTTTATTCTTTGAGAATTTCTTGCATGTATGCTATGTATTTTGATCATACCCATTCCATTTTCCTCTCCAACCTCCCAAACCCCAACAGATCCTCTTCCCAACTTCATATCCTTTTTTTCTAAATGACCCACTGAGTCTGATTATCCCTATGAATATGGATGCTAGTGTTGGGCCATCCACTGTAGCATAAGCAAACTACCAGTGACCACACCCCCAAAGAAAATTAGCTGCCCCTCCTCCAGCAGCCATCAGCTTGCTAATGGCTCCTTAGCTAGGGGTAGGGAGACCCCCCCCCAATCCATAATGAAACCATTGACTGACTTGATCTTATATAAGCCACAGCTGCCATAAGTTTGTGAGTACAACAGCCATGTCATGTCCAGAAGACATAATTTCACATCATTTCTCCTTGTCCTATGGTTCTTACATTCTTTCCACCCCTTCTTCAGTCTCTTAAGCCTTGTAGGGGTTGTTGGCAGGGTTGATACAGATGTCCCATTTAGGGCCAAGCACTCACAGCCACTTATTCTCAGCATTTTGAGAGTAGCATGCATCTATGGGTATAAACATAAATATTTAAAAGGTAGGGTAAAAACTAGAGCATTTACCAAATGCTTCCTTAAGGCCTCTGACCTCCCTAGCCATAGGCTTTGGACCAGGTTGACAGTACTCAGCATGAATTCCCATCTGTGGAGGAGGTTTGAAATTGAATCAGAAAGCAGTTGGTTAACCCCACAGCAATCATGCTAATGTTGCAGTAGTGGGTATATCTTGTCTAGAGGTTGGTGTGATAGCATGCAGGGTCCAGTACTGGGTGAGACTATTGATGTCTTTTTTTCTACCAGCATAATGTCTTCACTATGAAAGCTAGCCAGTAGGGCAGAAGCTTGGTTTCTCTATTTCCTGAAACTGAAGTGTATGGTGTCTTTAATTTATTTACTATGGGGAACCAAGAGTCAAAGGCCTTTGTTTTTTAGTGGGCTCCTGGGACCTCCCCGACAAATAACTCTTAGGGATATATCCTATATCTGGTGCTGAGATTTTTATTTAATAACCCATGTCCTTCTGGGAGCAGCATGTCCACCCATTCAGGGTACCTCTGTTTAATCTCTGTTGTTTTCTTCTTATATATATATATATTTTTTTAATATTATTTTATGTGTATGAATATATTGCCTGCATGCATGTAAGTGCACATGTGTTGTATATTGCTTGTGGAGGTCAGAAGATGGCATTGTATTCCCCTGGAATTCAAGTTACAGACAGTTGTTAGCTACTCTGTGAGTGCTGGGAATCAAACCCAGGTTCTCTGCAAGAGCAGCCAGTGCTCTTAACTGCTGAGCCATCTCTCTAGCACCTTAAATATAATTTTAATTAGCTTACAAAGTAGTGGGTTTCTATAAGGCTTTTTCAATAAATCCTTAATTTTGGTTAACCCACCTTCTCCTACTCTCCATCCCCTTTAGCCCCCAGTGTATCCCCCTCTTCATTCATAGCACGTTTCTTCTACCCTCTCCTCCACCTCATGGGCCTTTTCTCGTTTTCTGACCTCTGCAGACACTCCAAGTTAAACATACAAATCTAAAACTTCAAAGCTAGGGTTCAGATACGAGAGAGAATATGTGGTCATTTGTCTTTCAACTTCTGTTTTAATATTTAGTTTCTATACTTAAATTTTCATTAGTATATTGCTAGTAAGAGGATTAAAGAAGATAACCTCCTTTCCTTAGATTCATATTTGACATGTAATTTAAGTTGATAGTGTTAAAACTGCACTAAAATAAGTAGCTCTGAAACTTTTGTGGAATCAGAGAGTCTAGAAGAAATTATGGTTCCTCTTTCTGTGGTTGGTTGTTTTTTTTTTTTTTTTTTTTTTTTTTGAGAAAGGGTCTCATGTAGCTCAAACTGACTGAGGTTGAGCTCACAGTAGCTCAGGCTAGCCTTGAACTTTTGATTTTTCTTTTACCAATCCTGAGTGCTGGATTACAAGCACAAATGTCATCGTGGCTGGCTTTAATAAATTATAATTCTGAGAGAAGTTGGTTGCATACTGTTTTTGGATTACATGCAATGTGTATTTGTTTTTAATATTTATTATTTTATTTTATGTGTATGAATGTATTGTCTGCATGTAGGTAAGTGCACCTGTCTCATGCAGTGCTGCAGAGGTCAGAAGAGGGTGTCGGATTCCCCTGGAACTAGAGTTAAAGATGGTTCGTAGCCGCCATGTGGGTGCTGGGAATCGAACCTGGGTCCTCTACAAGAACAGTCAGTGCTCTTAACCACTGAGCCATCTCTCCAGCCCCGCAATGTGTATTTTTTAAAATCAGGAAAATCCTAAAAGAATGTGAATCCTATATTAATTACTTTTCTTGTTGCTGTGATAAAATACTCTAACTAAAAGCAACTTAATGATCAATAGGTAACAAATAAATAAGTTGGAACTGAGTCTAAAATTAGGACAGAATTAAGAATCAAAGTGAAAACAGTAAAAAGTGCAGGTGTTTATGTGTTTCTTGAACATGATTGCTAAAGAACTAACAGCCTGTCCCTAGACTGCTCACAAACTGCTGCCTGTTTAATTACATTTTCCATAGAGCTAACTCGTTTGAAACTGATGGAAGTTGTTGTCAAATTAAGAAGCATAGTTCTAAGTATCTTCTGGCAATCTTACCATGCCATCTTTCTGATAAAGATTAGCTTCACTTTAGTTATTTGGAGATACAGTATAGTCTGGCTGCAGCAACTGGTAGGGTTGAAAATGGCAAGTTTTGTTTTTTTGTTTTTTAATTTCTCTATTCCATTACCTAACCAAGATCTTTTTTTTTTTCTTTTTAAATATCATAGTGCATATTTGTGGCTGTTTTGGTCATTAGAGTAATATTTTGATCTTGCTTGTATTGTCTGGGCAATGGTTTAATATGTAACTAAAACAAACTATATCCTTTGCAGCCTTCAAACAGAAAATAATAATACAGAAAACAATATTTGTGTTGCAGATGTTCGGTTACTGCTTAATAATGATAATCTTCTCAGGGAAGGAGCAGCTCAGTAAGTATTTTATGTTATAACTAAAATGACTTGGAAAGAAAAGCTCTTTCGAAAGTGTTAGTAAAGCACTAATTTCTGACATAAGAGTTTTATATGCATGTTCATGTTTAAATGTATGTATTAGATTAGGAGAACTCACAGAGGGACTAGATGTGTAAGTATAGTATGAAATTCTCTGCTCATTCTGTTTGCCAGTGTCTTACATACTTAACACTGCATTTTGACATTTTAAAAACTGGATAAAATTATTTTTGTTGCTTTGTTTTTTTCTTTCGTGGGTTTTTTTTTTGGTCTTTTTTTGTTGTTGTTATTTTGTCTTTTTTTTTTTGTTTTTTTCGTTTTTTTTTTTTTTTTTTTTTCCCAGAGCTGAGGACCGAACCCAGGGCTTTGCGCTTGCTAGTCAAGCACCCTACCACTGAGCTAAATTCCCAACCTCTAAAATTATTTTTGAAGTGATGATTGCTTTAATTTTTTAAAAAATATTTTATTATTTATATTTGTATGCATGTATTGCCTGCATGTAGGTAAGTGCACCTATGTCATGCAGTGCCCGCGGAGGACAGAAGAGGCTGTTGGATCCCCTGGAACTGGAGTTATGGACAGTTGTTAGTTGCCATGTGGGTGCTGAGATTCTAACCTGGGTCTTCTGTAAGAACAGTCAGTGTTCTTAACCACTGAGCGATCTCTCCAGCCCCTCCATTACTCATTTGAAAACAGTTGAAAGTCATAAATTTTTCAAGTTCCTTACAAAGAATGTTTAGTATCCATCCAGTCAACTACTAGTCTCTCTAGATACTATTCTAATATGTAGAATCCTGACTGATAGGAACAATTTCTTTAATTCTATTTTAGTAACATAAAATTTAGTAACATTAAATTTATTTTTAAAATTTGGTCTTGTTGGGCATGTATATGCTTGTATTCCTAGCACTTGGGAGGTTGAAACAGAAGGATCCCAAATTCATGGCCAGTTTGAGCTACATAGTAAGGTTCATATGTCTTATAATGTCAAATTTTCCTGTTTAAAATTGCCTAACATTTTGCTGTGTGTGTATAGCATATTTGGTTTATCCATCTTTCAGTGGATGTTTGAGCTGCTTCCACCTTTTATTAAAATGCCTTTTAAGAATCATTTTGGTTTATACCTTGGATTTTAGTTGCTAGCTTTTAAGTGAATGGCCACTTATGTATTCTGAGTTGTGTGTGTGTGTGTGTGTGTGTTTTTTCAAGTAAGCAAACTTTATAATAGCATATAGTGTGTTGATAAAAAGTCTGTACATACAAAAGTGATTTGCTTAAATTTTTTTCAGAGTAAGGATTTTATTTCTATATTCATGAGTGATATGAAATAGTCATATATTTGACTCAAGAAAGGTAAAAGTATTGGAATATTGTTTGTCGAAAGAAATACTTATCCTGAGAAAATTCTTACATTCCATTTAAATTCAGTTTGTTCTAAATGAAATTTGGAGAGCTACATTTCTCTTTTACTACAAACCAAATTTTTGGACCTCTGTGGTCAACACTTCAGAAGGTACACACCAACCTGTTGGTGCCACACATCTGTAATCCCAACTCCCTGAAAGGTTGAGGCAGGATTTCAAGTTCAGGGCTAGTCTAGGCAATTTAGCAAGACTGATGATGTAGCTCAATGGTAGAAGGCTTTCTTAGCATGTCAAGCACAAGGCCCTTAGCTCAATCATCAGTAATCCCTATACCACCTGCCCTAAACAAAGGTATATAGCATTGAAGTAGAAAATATATGATACTCTTTTAGGGCAGGATGCATCTTTGAGGGACGTCCAGGCAGAGATCTGGAAATAGGAACTGAAACAGCGTGGTGGTCCACTGCTTACTAGTTTGCCCCTCTGTTCTGTGCTCATCTTGCTTTCTTATGCAACCTAAAACCACCTGCCCAGGGGTGGCACCGCCTACAATGGACTGGGCCCTCCCACATCAATTAGCAATTTTGAAAATGCCTCACCAACATGGTCACAGGCCAATCCAATGTAGGTAATGCTTCAGTTTAGGTTCCTTCTTCTCAAGTGTGTCAAATTGAGAACTGAAGCTATTCAGCACAGTTACTCTTGCATAGCTGTGAATAAAATACCTATGTAAGCAATTTAAGGGGGTGTATTAACTTTACTTTGATAAAACACCATGAGTTATGGAGGAAAGAGGTTTCTTTGGCTCACCTCTCCAGAACAAGAGTCCATAATGGTAGAGGAGGTATGCTAGCAGGTGACAGGAGCAGGAACCTGAGAGATCACATCTTCAACTACAGGCAGAAAGAGTGCAAGCTAGAAGTAGAACAAGGCTAAAAATGTTCAAAGCCCTCCCCCAGTGACTGACTTCTGAGACTCCACAACCAGCACCATTGAATGTTCAAGTACGTGAGTCTGTGGAGGACATTTTTCATTCAAACCACCACAAGGAGGAAAGATTTATTTTGGTTTGTGGTTTTGGAGATTTTTAGCCAATCGTGGTGAGGAAATCACACTGGCAAAAACATGTGGCTGAGGCTCTTCATATCACAGCACCAGGAAGGAAATGACAAAACCAAAGCCAGGGGGTAGGTATAACCTTCAGAGAAGCTCACCCCAGTGACCTATTTCCACTAGTTACTCCCAGCCTCCTAAAACTTCACAGCCTCTCCAGTAGCCCTACTAGCTGGGGGACCAAATAAGCAAAACATGAGCCTTTCATTTCAGATATAAACTCTTTAAGTGACAGCCTGACAATATTGAGAAATGAGTAGCTACTTCTGTCTTCCTGTCTATGCACTTCAGCACTGACCTCCATCTTTTTTTAAAATGCTGTGTTAAGAATTTGTGAAGTAGTGGTTTAATTTTACTTTGGTGTTTCTACATTTACATTTACTCTTACTAATTTATCAGCAATGCTTTACTCAACAAAATGTTTCTGCTAAACATTGTGGTTCACACCTGTAATACCAGCACTTGAGAGGCTGAGGCACGAGAATCACAAGTTTGAGGCCACTTTGGACTACATAGTATGTTTCAGAGCAGGATGGGCTACAGTATGAGACCTTGTCTTAAAAAAAAACTTCAAAACCTCAAACTTTCCAGGAGAGACTCAGGAGCAAACACCTGAAAATTTAATGGATATCTGTCTAGACTAGGGTAATCTGAAAAGCATTCCAATAGATTGTTTAGAGATATGTTTGTAAGTCTTAAAACTCTCAGCATCTTTTCTGTTAAGTGGAGATAATTTCCTAGGTTATAGATTTAGTAACATACAATTTTCATGCCTTGAGATTTTTCCCTACACGTATGCTACATTAATTACCTGGCAATAAATTATTTTTTACTCGTGTGAGAGTAGAAAGGCCTTATTCTTGAGTCCATCTCATCACCTTTTCCTAGCTCAGATTGCTGCTTTTCTATTTCTAATCACCCCACTTCTCAAATTTGTCATACATACTGCTAAATTAATCTTTAAAAGCACTTCTGTAATTATGCTTTGCCTCTCAAAGTAGTTACTTTATTTCCAAGACAGACCTTCTAAAAGGCTGTTGAAATGAGGAGTAAAAGAGCTTGCAACCCAGTGATACAAGCCTGAGGACCTGAGTTCAGTCTCTGGAACCCATGTAAAGGTGGAAGGAGAGAACCTACTCCACAGAGTTGCCCTTTGATCTCTAAACATGTGCCATGGCACACCTCCTCCCTCCTCCATTTTATTTATATATATATATACACACACACATGTATATATACACACATATACAATAATAAATCTAAAAAGACCTTCCAGTTCAACTCAGTAAATACAAATGTAAAATATTCTTTGCTTTCCGTTCTTCCCTCCCTTCACTTCCTTCCATATCCCTCTCTGTCTTGGGTGTGTGATGCATGTTTGTGTGTATGTGCAGGTGCTCTTATCCATGTATGTGTAGGCAGAGGTCAGAGATTGACATGGGGTGTCTTCCTCTGTGCTAACCACCTTATTTTTTGAGACAGGGTATTGCACTGAACCCTAAACTCGCCATTTTGGCTAGGCTGACTGCCCAGTGATTCACATATTTCTGCCCTCCAATACTACCACTACAGACATGCACTGTCCTGTCTAGCTTTAACTTGGGTGCTGGGGATCTGAACTTTGGTCTTCATGCATGTGTGGTAAGCACTTTACCCTCTGAGCCATCTACCTCAGCCCCCTCATTCTAATTTCTACAAGACCAGAGTCTACCTAGTTTTTTTTTTTTTTTCCTCCTAGTCCATATCTCAGTATCACATTCATCATAAAATTATCCTGGGTTTCTTCGTTTTGTACTTTTCTCTTAACAGAAAGCAGTTTCTCAGTAATGTGTTATTGGTAGTTCTTGGGGTACCTTCTGGTTTATGCTACAGTTATATTTATGTATTATCTTCCCTCTTCAACCTTTGATAGTAGAGGCTATTTGATTTATCATAGCCCCTAGTCTGTTTCCTAATTT